CAACGGAGCCAGGCTCGGTGGCTCAGCTTGTAATCCCAGTACTTTGGGAGGCTGAGGTGAGTGGATTGCCCGAGCCTGTGGGTTCGAGACCCACCTGGGCAACTTGGCGAGACCTCATCTCCACAATAAATCAAAATGAGCTGGGCGTGGTAGCGTGCCTGTAGTTCCAGTTACTTGGAAGGCTGAGGTGGAAGGATTGCCGGAGCCCAGCGGGTCAAGGCTGCGGTGGCTGGGAGTGGCCACTTTACTCCAGTCTGGGTGACAGAGTGAGACTCCAACTCAAAAAAAAAAAAAAGAAAAAAGGAATCCCAATGGGATTTCTCATGAAATTTGACAAGTGAATCATAAAATTGAAATGGAAGCATAAAGAACCAAGATGACTAAGACATTTCTGAGGATGAAAAGCAATGTATGTTTTGGTAGACAGGATACCATTACATATGGTAGGTCTGAGGTAAGACAGAAATGGTATTTCAAATTCGTGTGAAAAAAAGATGAATTATTAATAAATGATGATGAGACAATTATGGAAAAACTGAAATTAGACCAACTCTATACAAAAATAAATTTTACAGATTGAGAATTTAAAGGCCACATTTAAAATTTTAGAAGAAAATATAAAGAGTATTTACATTTCTCAGGGTAGGTAGAAATTTTTCAGATAAGATACTAAAAAAAAAAAATTCAAACCATAAAGTAAAAGTGTTATTCATTTGACTACTTCTACATTAAAATTAAGAACGTATTTTTGCTATAAGACACTATAAATAGAGTGAAAGGATAAGCCATGAAGTGGGCGATTATATGTTTGTTCAATGCACATAACTGACAAAGAATTACAATATTTAAAGAATGCCTATAGAAATTAATACATTTGTGGACAGAAAAATAGTAAAATGGACAAAAGACATGAGTAGGCAATTCACAGAATAGGAAACAAAAATGGCCAATATTGTCAAAAAATGTTCAATTACATTAGTAATTTGAGAGCTATAAATTAAAATTATCTGGCACAATGGCATCAATTTTGGTGTCTGATGATGCTAAGTTTTGACAAAGATGTGGAGTAGTAGAAATTCTCACGTGTTGCTGTCGGTAGTATAAACTGATATAACTATTTTGGAAAAAACTGTCTAGCTAAATAGTAAATTTTAATATGCATATGCCATTTCACATTGCAATTTCATTCCTAGGTGAAGAACCTGGGAAAATTCTTGCAAATGAGCCCAAGAGACATGGACCAGAATGCTTACAGCAGCATATAGGAGAAAAAACATGGAAATAAACCATGTTGTTCTATGTAGAAAGGATAAGTGGGCCGGTGCGGTAGCTCACACCTGTAAACCCCGCACTTTGGAAGATCAAGGCAAGAGGATTGCTAGAGTCCAGGAATTTGAGCCTAGCATGGGCAACGTAGGAAGACCTTGTCACTACAAAGAAAAAATCAAAAAATTAGGCAGACATGATGGCACGAATTTACTTGGTAGTCTGAGTAGGATGTCAAGGCTGCAGTGAGCCATGATTGTGTCACTGCATTCCAGCCTAGGAAACAGAGTGAGACCCCAACTCAAAAAAAAAAGAAAGGATAAGTGAATCTCAGCATACTTGTATAATGAAATACAAAGAGCTATGAAAATAAGTGAACATCTACTACTTGTAACAATTGGATAAATCACAAAAACTTAGTGCTGAGCTAAAAATGCCAGAAATAGAATGCATATGGTAAAATTGCATTTGTATAAAGTCAAAACTAATGAATATATGAAAAGTAACATAATAAAGTGGTCATTATAAATTAACATAAAAGCAATGAATGTATTACATATGTGATGAAATATATGTAATAAAATTACAAATACAGTGAGAAAATAGTACAAAATTCAGGACAACTGGGTGCAGTGACCCAAGCCTGTAATCCCAGCACTTTGGGAGGTCGAGGCAAGAGAATTGCCTGAGCTCAGGGGTTCAAGACCAGCCTGGGCAACTTGGTGAGATCTCGTCTCTACAATAAATCAAAAAATAAACCAGGCGTGGTAGTGCACGCCTCTAGCTCCAGCTACTTGGAAGACTGAGCCAGAAGAATCACCTGAGTCCACCAGGTCAAGGCTGCGGTGGCTGTGAGCGTGCTGCTGCACTGCAGTCTGGGCGACAGAGTGAGACTCCGACTCAAAAAAAAAAAAAAAAAATCAGGACAGCACTTACTCCAGGGGAGTGAGGAACATTTAACTGGAAAGGAATATACAGGGTAATATTCAAAGATAATGCTAGTTTTTAAAGCTAAATGATGGGACAGGAGTTTTTGTTTTGATATATTTTTTAAAATGTGTATCTAAACTTATGTGTATAGTAGATTTTACTATAAAATTTAGAGAGACTAAAAATAATGCTGGCTTATTGAAAGAATTTAATGATATAAAAGGATATACATGTTAATAGTTTAAAACTTGATTTATTCTATGATTCTTATAATGGCAGTAATTCTTTCCAATAGCCAGCCAAATGCTTAGATGAGAGGCAAGTTTGATGGAGACTCGCCTGGAGCTCTTAAGAGGCTATAAAGAAGGAATGTTTCATCTGCAGATCACGTCATATAGTTAGAATCAGGAATGCCAAATTCAATAGGAAATATCTCACTAAATATACATAGTAGCTAGATCTGATTGTGCTAAATAGGATCAATCTGGAGCTACTGGCCTTGCTGTTTGTTTTGCAAATCCTTGCCTTTGATTTGACACGATTCTGGCTCTGTGGCCCAACTGTATTCTCCTGACTACCTTGGAAAAATGCTTCACCCAGTTCAGTCTGGACCACAAGCTGGCCTACTTGACACCAGGAGGCAGTGCAGTGCAAATATTAGAAAGTTTCCATTCTGGAGTCCGCTCGTCTCGGCACTGAATTCTGGATCTGGTACTTAATAGCTGATACATTTTCTCATCTGCAAAACTGATAGTCATCCTCTTTCTAGGTTAAACGACATAATGAAGTAGAGCCCTCTGATGAACATTTATTCACTCAGTTCTCACTCTTCATTATTTTAGAATTTCATTTTGGGACCAGTTGCAGTTAAAATGTAACTCCAAGTGCCCTGACCCTTTCCTGATCAAGGGTCTGGTGCTATACAACCATACGATTTCTCCCAGGCGCTAATTCTTGCTATATATGGGTAGAAAATAAAATTGGAGTTTACTTATCCTACACCCTCCACCCACTCCCCTTCCCCAAGAAAGACTTGATTTCTATCATATTAGAATCAGGTTCTATATTCTTATCTTTGATTTATGAGCTTCCTTGTATCTTTCAAATATACTGATTTGTGCTTATTAGGGTTGGTGTTGGTCTTTGCAAAATGAAAGCCTAAGTCATATACGTATCAAATAATCTCTGGCACATAGTAGGGACTTGTAGAACTTGTTGTTATTATTACGTTCATAATTGAAAATTTCCTTGGCACTTCTACCAGACTTTCTCTGGTCCTGAGAGTGGAAGCAAACACTTAAGATCACAGAAAGAACTAATACAATTTAGTTTCCAAGTATGATAAATGGATAAACCTGTCTGGACTCATGGTAGCTCTGCTAAGGTGCTGACATCCCATGATGGGCACCCATATTTCAGTCAACATATTCTAGGTATTGTCACAAGATGGTACCACATAAGTAGTACAGACAATATGTGCTGGAGTAATTCAGAGGAAGAGAGATCACTGGGATACAAAGAGAGGATATGAGCTGGACTTGGAAGAATTGCTGAGATTGAAATAGACAGTGAGGAGAAGGAGACATTGATTTCAAGCAAGACATTATAGGCAAGGAGTGGAGAGACAACATGAGCAAAGATAGGCAAGATGTGTTTGAGGACAAAGCATTTTGGCTAAAGCAGAAATTTATTATAGGATAATGGTAGTGGATAATGTTTGGAAAGGGTAGACTGGAATTAATATTGAACACCAAATTCTAGAAATAGTAATGTTGCAAATATTTTTATGAGGAAGCTCCTTTTTATTTTGAGTAGGAGTCTCACTCTGTTGCTCAGGCTGGAGTGCAGAGGCACACTCACGGCCACCACAGCCCCCTGACCACTGGTCTTAGGCAGTCCTTCTGCCTCAGCCTCCCAAGCAGCTGGAACTACAGGTGCGTGCCACCAAACCCAGCTAACTTGTTTATTTATTGTCAAGACCAGGTCTCGTCAAGTTGCCCAGCCTGATCTCGAACCCCTGGACTCAGGCAATCCTCTTGCCTCATTCTCCCAAAGTGCTGAGATTACAGGCATGAGCTACCACGCCCAGTGAGTCTCTTCTCAATAGCATCATCATCTCTATCCACCAGCACCATAAATGTTTACAGTGTTTCCTGGAGGTAATTTGAAACTATGGAACACTGGAGAGTTCTTGGTGACCTTCAGACATTCTGGGACCCACACATTCTTAGATAAAATTATCATATGATCATGACTTGAAGCCATTCCAAAGAACAGGTGTGAGCAGAATATTCAGAAAGTAGCACTAAAGAGGGAAAGTTTTTTAGGCACTGATTGTACAAGTTACATATAAAGGAACCCGCAAAGAAAAAAGACTTAAGATCAGCTAATAACTTCCAAGGGTTTTTATTATTTACTTTTCAATGAAGACATGCTTTTCACGCCAGGCACGAAATGTCCACAACATAAAACCTAACTACAGTATCTAATCAGATGTTTATCAGTCCTGGGAACTGCCAAAAAAGCTATTAAACTGGTGCTTTCCATAGGGATGGTCTCTACCACGCTATTAGGAGACATGACATTGTTCTCTCCTTATAGGACAAGGAAGGTGGCGGTGAGAGAGTGTGGGTTGGCGGTCCAGAGAGTAGTGTTTGCAGGAGAGAAGATCTGTTGATTTAGTTGATTCACTACATACACACTGGGATCAAATGCTCTCCATTTGGAAGCCCTCATGATAACCAGGAACTCAGAAGGTATAAAAACCCAATCTGGGCTCCGCCGCAGTAGTACTGAAGGCAACCATGGCAAAGCTTGTTCTCCTCACAGGTGGGTTTCTGACCTTACCTGGCCCTTTTCTCTCTCAGGATCTGACAGCCACGAAGTGGTCTTCACCCTACCTCTTTGTGCTTTTTCGTTCTTCTTGCATCATTTCAAATTTTCAGGAGAATCCTGTCATATACAAATCAGTCTGCCTCTTGTTCTCATAACCTCAAAGAATGCTGGTAATATTTCTACCTTCATTTACCCTTCAGGCATGGTCCTAAAAGGAAGGCTCTTTCTCTTCCAACGTTGTCTTGCTCTTTCACCTTTTGCTTGGTCATTCCTTTTTCTCCACTCATCTTCCTGCGCCACTTTATTTTGCTTGGTATGATGCTTATTTACATGCTTGTGTCCTTGCACTGGCTTTTTCAAGAGATAAAAATCAGAGGAACTGAGTTGGAGTTATACAAGTTGTCTTTGTTTTACTGTTTACAGGGTTACTTCTCTTTTATTCTCTATTATGCCACTGAGTTGATGATATACCATAAAAATGTCTCTGTTAGAAATACATTCATCCTGTCCAGATGCAGTGGCTCACATCTGTAATCACAGCACTTTGGGAGGCCATGGCGGAGTACAACCTAGGCAATAGACTGAGATCTCATCTCTAAAAACAAAAACAAAAAAATTAGCCAGGCATGGTAGTACATCATGTCTGTAGTCCTGGCTGCTCCAAAGGCTGAGGCAGGAGGATCTCCTGAGTCTGAGAGTTCAAGGCTGCAGTGAGCCATGATCTTGTGACTGCACTCCAGCCTGAGTGACAGAGTAAGACCCCAACTCAAAAAAAAAGAAATAAAGAAGTTTTATTCTTCAAAAAGTTTGATTCAGTAAGCTGTTTAGAGCCAGGTCATACCTAGAATTTATTAGTGGCTCTAAAGGTAGGGTTTACAAATTATTTAAAGCTTCAGACTTTTTCTAAATTAAACGTCGAGCACAATTTATAAAACAATCAGGGCAGAAGTGCTCTGGAGGAAACCAGGGAGAGACATCTGGAGTCTTACCTAGTTCTTCTCTCCTCCTGTAAGGGCTTCTGAGCACGGTTCCAAAAAAAACTTCCAAGGCCCCAGGAGATACTGAATTCTCTGATTTAGAAGACGTCTTGTCTGTTGGAAGGCTGTACTCATCCCAGCTCAGGGAGGTGAGGTATAGATGGAGGTACAGACATTGAGAGGAATTAGGTAATTTCAGTAAATTTATCTTGCATAGATTGTAGACTTCAGATTCTGCATCCAGTAATATTTATTTCTGACATGGAAGATGGAAGAGAAAGGCATGAAGGCCATTTTTGACCAAGGGGAAAAAGTAGATCATTGTCATATTCACTGAAATGCATAACCACTAAGATTCACTTGGGCTATAACAATCTGTGGCAAATAGGCAGGTACCCAGCACTTCAGAACTAGATTCTACAGGGTACAGACCATTGGTTCAAAGAACATGTTTTTTCTTTCTGTCTAGGTCTAACCCTTCTGCTGAATGCTCAGCTGGGTAAGTCATAGACTGTGCTTTACATTGACATCTTTCCCTACCGTAAATCTCAAATCTCTATAAATTATTCATAACTCAATTATCTGCTTAATATATATGTGAGTTTTAAATATTTCAGTATTGCTTTTATATATGTTGATAGATAGATAGATAGATACATAGATACATACATAGATGATAGATAGATAGATGATAGACTAGACTAGATAAATAGATAGATAGAGATAGATCAATGGAAACTGAGCTGCTATTTACTTCACAGACAGATGGGTTTGAATTTGGGGAACTCTGCTGTTTTGGATATACTGTCAGTACTATCTTCTTCAGCTTGACCCTCTGAGTTATAAACTTCTGTTCACTTGGCTTCATGGGACTATCAGGTATCTTTTCTTAGAAGGTTCCTAGGTTTATCCAAGATCCCAAAATGACTACGTCAAAGTTAAAAATAACCAACTCCAAGTCAATGACTAGGTCTGAGTTAGAATCTTTGGACTCATCTCAAGAGTGTCCATACCAATCACCTACAAACAGATATTAGGCATCTGAGGCACAGGAAGGTAAACAGAGGTAGGGCCAAAACTCTCAGCACATTTCCTTGGCTCCTGAATCAGGCCCTTTTCCTTCTTTCTTACTCCCCACAGGCTCTGCCTACGAGCTGACATGCTACTTCACCAACTGGGCCCAGTACCGGCCCGGCCTGGGGCGCTTCAAGCCTGATGACATCGACCCCTGCCTCTGTACTCACCTGATCTATGCCTTTGCTGGGATGCGGAACAACGAGATCGCCACCATCGAATGGAATGATGTGACTCTCTACCAAGCTTTCAATGGCCTCAAAAACAAGTAAGGGGAGAGCAGAGAAATTTAATTTGATATCTCCTGCTTCAGTACTTCTCAAACATTAATGCTTCTTAAAATGTAGTTCAGAATCAATGGATCTGAGGTGGGGACCAAGACTCTCTATTTTGTTTTTCTTCTTTAATTGACAAAAATTGTACATATTTATCATGTACAATATGATGTTTTGAAATGTCCATTGTGGAATGGCTCAATTGAACCATTAATATATGCATTACCACACATCCATAGCATTTTTTTCTGAGGAGAATGAGATAGAAATTCAGCAGGATTAGCTTCCTAGGATAAACAACAAGGCGAACTTTTCAAGGCTGGTGACTGAGACGGTTTCCCTAGAGAAGTAGATGGCCTCGTTTTCTGAGCTCCCACAGAGGAAAAACAGGATGCGGTTGAAAACTGGTTAGAGTCAGCTAAAACCAAGATAGCAACTAATTTGCCCTCTACCCAAGTTTGCCCCTTATTGTACACTCATTATAATACATTAACATGTTAAATGACACACTGTCCAGTTCCATGGCAGTTCTGACTCTACCCATTTATAGTAAACTGGGAGGAGCCCCAGTTCTTAGAAATCGCCAACTCTTTCCCAAGAAACTCATGAATATTCCACCCCTTGCATGATATGTAACCAAGAGATAGCTATTCAAATAAAAACCCAGAGATTTATATGACTTCTGTTCTTCCCATAGAGGGGCCTGTGAAGTAGCCTGCTCTCTGTCCATCTATAAACTTGCTTTCAGTAATCTATGGGGCTGCTTTGCTTACAGAGTAGGCTTCTTTCTGTTTCTCTTTTCTTTTAATAGACTTACTTTTGCTTTACTTTGTCAGTTCACTCTTGAATTATTTCCTGTGTGAAGCCAAGAACCACTGGGCTTCTTGGGCTGGATCCCAACTTTGGGGGGTCCCCCGTTCTGTGTCAAGAACACTTAAAATCTCTACTAACCCTTTTCAAAATGACAACACATTATTAACTATAGTGACCATGCCCTACAATAGATCTCTTGAACTTATTCCTCCTTTCTAAATGAAATTTTATATCCTTTGACCAACATTCCCCCAACCTTCAACCCCTAGTAACCACCATTGTACTCTTTACTTCTATGAGTTCAACTTTTTAAGATTCCATTTATAAATGAGATCATGCAGTAGTTGTCTTTCTGTGTCTGGTTGATTTCACTTAACATAATGTCCTCCAGGTATATCCATGTTGTTGCCGGTGACAAGATTGCCTGCTTTTTTAAGGCTGAATAGTATTTATGATGTACATACACTACATTATCATTATCATCATCTGTTGATGGGCTCTTGGGTAGATTCCACATCTTGGCTTTTGTGAATAGTGCTGCAATGAACATGGGCGTATGAATATTTCATTTCCTTTAGATATAAACCCAGCAGTGAAATTGCTAGGTCATATGGTAGTTCTATTTTTAATTTTTTGAGGAACCTCTATATTGTTTTCCATAATGGATTACTGATTTTACATTGCCACTGACAGTGTGCAAGAGTTCCCTTTTTTCCACGTCTCCTCCAGCACTTGGTACCTTTTGTCCTTTTGGTAATAGCAATTCTAACTGGAGTGAGTAATGTCTCATTATGGTTTTGATTCGTATTGGGCATTTTTTCGTATGCCTGTCAGCCACTTGCATGTCTTCTTTGAGAAATGTCTACTTAAATCCCTGATTATTTTTTTAGTTGGGTTATTTGTTTTCTCATGACTGAGTTCTGTAAGTTTCTTATATATTTTGGAAACTCACCCCTTATTAGACATACGGTTTAAAACTATTTTTTCTAAAAAAAAGTAAATGAAATAAAAATTATTCTCATTTCATAGGTTGTCTCTTAACTCTGCTGTTTTCTTTACTATGCAGAAGTTTTTTAGATTGATGCAATCCCATTTGTCTATTTTTGCTTTTGTTGCTGTACTTTCAGGGTCAATATCCAAAAAATCTTTGCCCTGACCAATGTCATGGAGTTTTTCCCCATGTTTTCTTTTAGTAGTTTTGGGTCTTACATTTAAGTCTTTAATCCACTTTGAGTTGATTTTTGTATATCATATGAGATAAGGATCTACTCTCATTCTTCTGCTTGTGGATAGGATGCTTCATATCTAACAAGGCTCCTGGCCCTCAGATGATGCTAAGCATCTGCTCCCAGGAACCACACTTAAAATGTAAAGAATAAAGACAGCACAGCACTTGCCAGCTCTAGTCGGTATTAAAAAAAATATTAGTTCTGTTACTTTCTTTCCCTGTCTTTTTTATGACCCAGGAAACTATAAGACCAGACATTTTAGTGACTCCCCTCAGGGAGCAGGAGGTAGATGATATTAAAAATTAGCTGTCATTGACCACCCAAATCAGAAAGTTTTTCTGTATTTTAATAGAGTTCTCTTTTGTGCAGAAACAAGCCAAACTCCGGTATCTTTTAATTAACAGATTTGTTCCGTTTAGTTGTATCTAAAAGAAGGAAAAACTACAGGTGATTGCTACCATCGATAATGGCACTATTATGAATGCAACTACGAGAATTTAAGCAATCAAGCCTAAGAGTAAATAAACTCCTACACAGCAGCGTTTCTTGAAGTGTGACTCATTGGCTACTTGTATCAAAATCACCTGGGGCACTTGGTAAAACTGCCAGTCCCTACCCCAATCCAGCTGAATCAGAATCTCGAGGGAAGGGGTGATAAACCTGGAATTTTAATGTTGTCCTCTCACAATCCTTGCACTTAATTCTTATGTAAACTGATGTATGAAAACCTCTAATCCAGAGAATGTGTGTAATTACAAGCCAATTAATTTACATTACTTGTCACAGAGGCTGAGAAAGTAATTACACTCTACATGAGCTATGTGTGCTTGTAAGTTATATGTATCAAAAATATTGCCAATACATTCTTTAAAAAAAAAAGAAAAGAAAAGAAAACAACACCAGTTTCACAGTTTAGATTTCCCTAAGAAACTCTGAATGCAGTTATGACAGGAACACAAAGAATTTTCATAAAGCAAGTTTTTAGTAGTAGAGAAGTATTGTTCTATAAAATAGCCCATCGTAACAAGGCAACACAGAAGTATCTGAGCAGGCCCAACACTAAAGAAATCTTATTTTAAAAAGAGAGACTTGTGAATTTTGAACTTAAAAAAAAATTCTTTGCTTTACAGGAACAGCCAGCTGAAAACTCTCCTGGCCATTGGAGGCTGGAACTTTGGGACTGCCCCGTAAGTCTTCTAGGGAGAGCCCGTTGTCCATTTGCCGCTGAAAACAAGTCAGCCCAGTGTGATCCCTGTCCCTTTAGACTTTACAATCGCAGACAGAGTATTAGGGATGTACATTAAACAAATACGCTAACTCAATAAATTGAGACATCAGAACCTCAATATTAATATATTTATTTCATATATTTAAATTTGGGTAGATATTCACAGACTACTCTCCACAGAAGTTTAGTTATTGAGGTTCCAAAACAACCTCTTTTAAAGTATTTCAAGAATACAAACTCTGAGGAGGGCATTATGGTGCATCTATCCATGCACCTCCTAGGAAAGGGAAAGAGAATGCAAATAAGCAAGATTTATTTGAAGTCACATAAACTTGGGGAACTAATTGCAGAAAGAACATCGTGAGTTGGGTTAGGCGAGTGTTCAAGGAAACAAGGAAAACTTGGGAGAAAGATCAGAGTTGGGGGGATAACAAAATCAAGGGAACGTTGAGATACCAGGGCTGGGAAGAGTAGTGATTATAACAGAAGAGCGGGAAACCAGGAGCATGTTTTAATCTCATCTGTGGGTCCTGGTGAAGGGCTCTGAGGCAGAAATTAAGAGCTTGATTTTACTCAATGTTGGGGACACCAAGGTCTCACCCCGCCTATTTGTGTCTCCCTAGTTTCACTGCCATGGTGTCCACTCCTGAGAACCGCCAGACCTTCATAGCCTCGGTCATCAAATTCCTGCGCCAGTATGAGTTTGACGGGCTGGACTTTGACTGGGAGTACCCAGGCTCTCGTGGGAGCACTCCTCAGGACAAGCATCTCTTCACTGTCCTGGTCCAGGTGAGGAAGAAAGTAACCTTCTTTTGTCCAAGAAGATCTAAAGGCTTTCTGTCCAAGGAGAAAACTGAACTTAGATTTAGAATTATAGAATCTTAGTATTACAAAGATTCTTAGCTGTCATACATTTCTCCAACAAACATTAAATGAAAACAACAACATGTGTGCTATATGCCAGGTACTACTCTACATGCTGCTTTAAGAACCATAACTCATTTCACACATCTACTCTATGATATAGGTACTATACATGTTATAACCTTTATTTTACATATGCGGAAACTAAGGTACAGAGAAGGTTTAAGTAACTTGCCTAAGATCATATAACTGGTAGGCATCATAACTACCCATGTAGTCTTGTCACAGAGACCACTGCTTCCAGCCATTACACTAGACTGCTCATTATTGCTGAGCAAATACTCTGTGCTATACACTGAGTTAGGTGTCAAGTTAAAAATAAGAGTAAGACACAATCCTTGGCTTTAAAGAACATACAGTCTGAGGTGGAAGACTGAAAACTAACAATTGTAAGACATTTTAATAAATGCCATGATAGAGGTCTGCAGAGTACAAAAATAATACAGAAAGAAGGACTGGTCATTTTCTTTGCTCTGGGATAGGATCAGAAAGCATTTCTAAGAGAAAGTGATGTTTGAGCTCAGACTTTAAAGAACCTTGCTTTAACAAATTGAGTGAGAATGGTGATGGCATAAATGGCACAGATATGTGTGAGCAAGTGAGTGATGGATTGTGAAGCTGCATGGGTGATGAGAATCAGATCCTGTGTGGACTTTTATGTTAAGGAACTTGGACTTTACCCTCAAGGCAACAAGGCAGCTTTGAAGGACTTGAAATAGTGGAGAACCGGCTTTAACCATGGAGGATAAACTAGGAGGTAAGAAGGCAGAGATAGGATTTGGAGGTTATTGCAATAAATCAAGCAAGAGATGAATTAGAGCCCCAACCAAGGCTCTAACACGAAGGGAGGAAGGGATGTATATGAGGGATATCAAGAGGATAGAATCATTAGGATTTGTAAGATACCTGGAAGTGGAAAAAAGAGAGGACTCCCAGGTTTCTGACTTGGAGAACTGGTTTGGTTGTGGTGCTATGAACTAAGATGGTAAATACTAGAAGAAGTGTAGCTTTGAAATAAGAAGAAGGACTGATTCGTTTTGCTTTGAACATGATGAACAAGAGGTATCTGTAAGACATCCTAAAGGAATGCCCCATAGGCATCTGATAAATGTCATTCTGGAGTTCAGGACAAAGAACTTGACTTGATATACTATACTGAAGTAATCAGTCAAAGGAGATAATTCAGAGGTCACCAAGGAAAAGTGAATGGAATAAGAAAAAACAAGGACCAAGAGTGCTTCTTAGATTTACTCTCTCCCAAGACATTATTTTCTATGCTACTGCATATACCAGATCATCAGTCAGTCTCTGAATTGTTAAGTAACACACTAGGTGAAAAGTCAATTTAATTATTTGTTGAACCACTCTCATGATCGGAAAGAACATCTCTATCCTTAGCCAAAACATGCCTCCAGGCATAATTTATAACTTCTAGTAATTAGTTCTAGTTCTGCCCACTGAAGAAACAGAGTAAGGCAGTACCTTTTGCAATATATAAGCTTAATATTTGAAGACAATTATAATGTCCTGCCTATAATTTCTCCTCTTCCATTTAAATATACTAGTTCCTTCAACGTGTAACCACGTGATGATTTTCAGAGCCACTCTTCACTAGAACATACTCTGGCATATCCCAAGAATGCAATAATAAGAACTGAGCCTGGTATAACAGATGAGATGAGAGTCACACAGAATACAGGTGGATTAACCTATAGCATTGGATGGGAATTTATCATCTGGCCGCTACCACTTTCCCTCCTGGCCAATTCAGCATTTCATCTGATGGGATGTCAGTCCTATAAAGTATTTAATCTGTTAAACACATGGAAGCAAGTTTCTATACTGGTAGATGTAAAGTACTGCAGCAAGTATAGCTTTAAAATGTAGGGATAAAAATGGAGTTCTGATGGTCATGTGGGACCTGGGTTCTGGGCATGACCTGGCTACTAACTTACTGTGGGACTTTGGTAAAATTTCCTAAACTTTATGCATATTAGAGAGCTATGACATTGACCAATAGTATCTGTACTATCTACTTTATTGGGATATTGAGAGCCTAAGCAAGACACAGTGTGTGAAAGCAATTTTAAAATGAAAGCGTTACACATACATATATTTATTAATATTTAAGGAACTGAGACCAGCTTCATAGATGCCCTATTATACCTTATTATTCTGTAGGAAATGCATGAAGCTTTTGAGCAGGAGGCCAAGCAGATCAACAAGCCCAGGCTGATGGTCACCGCCGCCGTAGCTGCTGGCATCTCCAACATCCAGTCTGGCTATGAGATCTCCCAGCTGTCCCAGTGAGTGATGCGCCTTATCCTCAAACTCCTGGAGGTGTCACTTAGGCAGACCAGACTTGTCCTTGTTCTTTTGTCTTACTGTCTAGGGACTCTGTTTAGGAGGCGTTGGAAGTGGTGTCTTTTGCCCGCACAGGTATGGGAAATGACCATCGGATAATTGAATCCTTTACCCGACCTCAGGTACCTAGACTACATCCATGTCATGACCTATGACCTCCATGGCTCCTGGGAGGGCTACACCGGAGAGAACAGCCCCCTCTACAAGTACCCAACTGACACCGGCAGCAATGCCTTCCTCAATGTGGTGAGTCCCTGCACATACATGCAAATGCAGACCAGAGAGGATGACATAAATCACATGAAGATTCGGAGACAAAATAAACATAAATTCTGCAAATGTCTCACTTAGACAATTGTCCTCTTAAAGCTGTTGATCATATCTCGTTAACTACAAGTTCATCTGAAGTTTTTTTTTAATGCTAACGAATCCATCTGTCATTAATATCATACAGTTTTGCCTGTTATAACAGGAAACTAACATAACTAAGCACTGAGCCATCACCTGCTTGGGACCTGTGGCTAACCCACTGCCATTGCAGGATTACGCCATGAACTACTGGAAGGACAACGGGGCCCCGGCTGAGAAGCTCATCGTTGGATTCCCTGCCTATGGACACACCTTCATCCTGAGTGACCCGTCCAACACTGGAATTGGTGCCCCTACCTCTGGCGCTGGTCCTGCTGGGCCCTACACCAGGCAGTCTGGGTTCTGGGCTTACTATGAGGTAGGAAGGTTGGGTTGAACAGTACTCTGTAAATTTCATGTGCTATGCCGAGTTGTCGCCTTAGGACTAGAATCCACTAAAATCTTGAATGTTCAGTCTGTCTACTACCTACCTGCTTTAAGCACGGAGTGTCACTCCAGCTCCTTAAAATGTTTAAATGCCCTGTTCATTTGCCTAATCCAAATGAAGAGTATTTAATAATGCACAGTATCCCTTCAGGCAATGGACCACCTTTTAAAGGTTATTTGCATTAACACAGAGAGAATAAAATAAATATACTTCTCGTACTACTGTGGGTTCCGAAAAATCAAGCACTAAGAGTAGGGACAGCATATGAGTATCTGAAAAGCAACTTGATCCTCTGTACTGCAAATAAAAAATCCATAACTCGAAAATTGAGGAAAACCCCAACTGGAGACATGAAAAAAAAAAATAGACATGGTTTTCTTCATGGGAGTAATATTTTAAAGACCTGAATCTCTTGGCTTTCTAAAGATCTGTACCTTCCTGAAAAATGGAGCCACTGAGGCATGGGATGCCCCCCAGGATGTGCCCTATGCCTATCAGGGCAACGAGTGGGTTGGCTATGACAACGTCAAGAGTTTCAATATCAAGGTAAGGTCAGCCCTTCAGACATGCTGAGGTCCCAGTCCGGAGTCCCAGGAAATCAAATGACTCCCGTTCTCCTCTCTCCTTAAACAGGCCCAGTGGCTTAAGCAGAACAACTTTGGAGGCGCCATGGTGTGGGCCATCGATCTGGATGACTTCACTGGCACTTTCTGCAACCAGGGCAAGTTTCCCCTGATCTCCACCCTGAAGAAGGCCCTCGGCCTGCAAAGTGCAAGTAAGTAGCAGCAAAGGGATACCCAGGTGCATGAACGTTCCTTCTCCAACTCAAAAGGTATCCCTGACATCTGCCCACCCCCATTGCCCAGGGATTCTCTTCCCATTTCACCTCACCTGCTCTTGCCCAGGTGAGAGAAAGGTCCTGCATCCTTCCTGCCCTTGAACTTTCATGTCAGGAATTTTGTGTTCTTAACAGTTTCCCCTAAGTCTTAATGGTGTGGAAGAGCCTCAAGAAAGTATGCTGACCTTCAATAAGCATCTACTTATCTAAAAATCTTTTATTCAAAGTCTCTCCCAGTCCACTTGGGGAACTTTAACAAGAAACCCTCACCCATGCTTACCTATCTCTAATATGTAATTCAGTGGACGTATTAACTTCTTGTTTCCAAGAGTTTATTTGTACACCACCACTGTGCCCGGACAGTACATGTTCTTTGAATGAATTTAGATAAAAGGGGAGAGCAACCTTTTTAAAATTAAAAGCCAGGCTATCTTGACACGATAGCCTTACCTAATTCCTGAATATGGAGCTACCTTCTGATCTCAGTTGCAGGGTCCAGGCGATCCTAGAAGAGTATTTTGCATACACTAAGTGCTTAGTAAATGTTTATTGTTGTTGTTTTCAGTCGGAGTCTCACTCCGTTGCCCAGGCTGGAGTGCAGTCACACACTCGCTCATGGCTACTGCAGCCTTGACCTGCTGGGCTCAGGTGATCCTTCTGCCTCAGTCTTCTAAGCGGCTGGAACCACAGGCATGCAACCACCCTGCCCAGCTAATTTTTTGATATACTGTAGAGACAAGATCTTGCCAAGTTGCCTCGGCCTCCCAAAGTGCTGAAATTACAGGTGTGAGCCTCTGTGCCCGGACAGTACATGTTCTTTGAATGAATTTAGATAGAAGGGGAGAGCAACCTTTTAAAAATTAAAAGCCAGGCTGTCTTGACACGATAGCCTTACCTAATTCCTGAATATGGACCTACCTTCTGATCTCAGTTGCAGGGTTCAGGGCTGCACCCCACCTCCAGATGTGCTCTTCACCTCTACCTAGGCCAAGCTTGGAGACCCTGTCAGGCCCACTAGCCAGCTCTGTGTGCTATATTGTTTCAGGTTGCACAGCCCCCGCTCAGCCCATTGAGCCAATAACTGCAGCTCCCAGCAGTGGCAGCGGAAGTGGCAGTGGGAGCGGGAGTGGCAGCCCTGGAGGCAGCACTGGAGGCAGTGGATTCTGTGCTGGCAAAGCCAACGGCCTCTATCCCGTGGCCAATAACAGAAACGCCTTCTGGCACTGCCTGAATGGAGTCACGTACCAGCAGAACTGCCAGGCCGGGCTTGTCTTCGACACCAGCTGTGACTGTTGCAACTGGGCATGAGCCTGACCTGATCTCCATTCCCGCGGCTTCTGCACAGTTTCCCTTGCTTAGGACATCTTGCCCCTACCTAAAGTTCTGCAATAAAATCAGCAGTCAAAGCACGAGTGTTCTCGGTTTTAAGTGATTTGGGCGGAAACCTTTTCTAGACATGAAAACACAGGCTATGGGTGGGGTGGAATGGCAGAGAAGAGTGTGAGGAAGTGATGAAACCGACAACCACAGCCTTCTGTCTGCCTGTGTCCATCTGCGTGAAGGAAAACGTAAGGAGGAGATGTCTGAAAGTTTGGTGCAGGGGTAGGATGAAGACATGGAGAGGCCAGGCCTGTAGCTTGGCGACTGTCCTCAGGAAGGAAATGAAGTGGTTCTGTGAGACTGCTGGGTATAGGCAGCGATGCTTGACTTGCTCAAGCAGTGGGAGGATGGGGCATTCTCTCCACTTCTGCTGAAGACCCACAGCTGATCCACCTCCTCTTGGATGGGCAGCTTTGGGAAGATCCGTGCAGTGGACTCCATGTAGAATGTCCACCTAGCCCACAGGCCAGCAGGAGCCCTTTCTCAGGAGACTAGCCCATCATTGAAATTGTAGTGGTGGCCAACAGCGGCTGTGCTTGTAAGCGTCATCTCCTTCCCTGGCTTGGCTGATGGCTGGGGCAGACATCGAACTCCAGAAGGTCAATCCAATCATCACCTTCCAGAATTTGCAACTGTCCGTCTGAGAGTGACTGAGTCTGTAACTTGTAAGCTCAGGAGCCATAGTGAGGGACTGAAAAGAAGGAGAAATTACTCTGGATGCAAAACAAGAAGACTAGAGCAGAGCTTCAAGAAAAGCAAGAAGCGAGACAGAGTGAGAACACGCACCAATGGACAACTTTCCAATTCTTGGTTCTAGTTTTTTCCTGAGACCCAAGTGCCTCTCTGCCTTTGGGTTCTGTGAAACACTCATAGACCTATAGAATTAATTCCTCTTTGCTGCTTAAACCGGCCCAAGCTTTTTCTTTTTACTTGCAAATGAAAGAAACCTAACTAATGTAATAAGAATATAATGACTTTCTTTTTTTAGTCAAATTCTCACTCTTTTACCCAGGCTGGAGTGCAGGGGCATGATCACGGCCACTGTAGACTTGACCTGCTGGGCTCAGGCGATCCTTCTGCCTCAGCTTTCCAAGTAGCTGGAACTACAGGCATGCGCCACCACACCTGGCTAGTTTTATGATTTATTGTAGAGATGAGGTCTTGCCATGTTGCTCATGCTGATCTTGAACCCCTGAGCTCAGGCAATTCTCTCACCTCTGTCTCCCAAAGTACTGGGATTACAGGTATGAACCATTACACCTGGCTATTGGCTCATATTTTTTTTCTGGCATGCTTACTATGTGTTAAACTATTCTAAGTATTTTATATGTATTTTTCTTATTTAGTTTTCCCAGCAACCTTATGAGGTACATTACATCAACTTCAGAAAACTGAAGCAGAGAGGAATTAGTTAACCTGCCCAATATCACAGAGCTAGCTGCAGAGCCAAAGACAAAACCAGTCATGCTGACCCCGTAACTCACAGCCTCATCTGTTGTTTTAATACTTTCCTTGACACAGATTATAGCGTGTCATGGGAGATGATAGCACTGGTGACAGTGATATAGCACACACTGCTCTCTGAGCAATCTCTTTCATTCATAAACTTAAAGCATTTGTTGATTATTATGTGCTAGTTGATATTCTAGGTACTGAAGACACAGTGGTAAATAAAAGACTCTACTCTCCCAGGTGGAATAAAGTGGTGTGTATATTGCATACTGTCAGTTGTCTACTCCCAGATTTGTCCATAGCCTGGGGGTACTACATCTTGTCAGATTAGCTTGTGGATGCAAATCCATCAACTCTTGTTCAATGTCAAGTTGTATCAGAGAGCTCAGTCTTCTTTTGGACTCAGTCTTCTTTTGAACTTCAACAGTCATCTCACAACTCCTTTGGTCAAACAAACTTTCATTTTAAGAAAAAAAAGACTCCACTCATGTAGATTTTATTTTGCTGATGAAAGTGTTAGACAATACATAACACATGAAGAAATACAGAAAATGAAACTGTGTTAGAAAGATACCAGAATAGATTACCTTCACTTGGGCAGTCCTGCTAGACTTTTCTGGGGAGGTCCCATAAGAGATGGGTCATGATAGTCAAAAAGAGCCAGTCATGTTGAGTTCTGGGAAAAGTGCATTTCAGGTAGAGGGTACAGCAAGTGCAAAGTTCTTGAGGTGGAAATGCATGTGGCGTGTTAGATAAAGGAAGACCAGTATGCCCATGAGGTGGTGAGCACAGAAAAGAAACCGGCAGGGGTCAGATCATGCAAGGTCTTGGAACATGGTTAGAAGTTTGTGTTTTATTGTAAGTGAGTTGGGAAGCCAATGGAAGGCAATAACAGGGATAGGATTTGTGGGCGGGATTTAAATGTAACATTGATGAGATGAGGCTGGGATCGGGTTAAAGAACACAGGAAGATAGAACTCATGGTGACTGTCACAAACAGACCAAGAATGACATGCCTTGAAGATCAAAGACGCCAAGTCATTGAAGTGGGGACTTTATTCTTCAATGAGCAGATAAAGGCAAAAGTCAGTAAAATTGGCTATTGTTATTAAAGTCATGACATTTCTAGACAAAGAATGATGAGGTTTGGAGTAATACAGAGCACAGGAATTTGGAGGAATTTCCTACTAAGGCACAGAGGGCAGACATGGGGATGTGGGACTCTGAGCTTAATGAAAAAATGACATAAAATCAACACTTGGCTTTGAGGAACAGCATCTTTAAGCAATATAGTGGCCGGTGGCTAGGTCAAAGTGTTTTCCCAAACTAACGCCTTTTCCAATGCCACTATTTTCCCACAATGATTAATTCTGTCACCATTTCTAGAATGTAAAAACAACTACAACCTAAAAGGGTAGTGCCCCACTATTTTTTCCTCCTAGTTTTACACATAAATCACTCATTGAAATGAGTGTTTACTGTGCACCTACTATGTGTAAGAAAGGGGTGAGCATGAGCCAGCCACCATGACCACTCTGACCTCACCGCCTGCAATTCTCACTCTGCTTCAACCGTATCATCTCCTTGCAGTTTCTCAAGTATTCCAGGCATGTTACTGGAACTCCTTCCCTAGACTTCCATTTGACTCTCTCCCTCACTTTCTTCAGGCCTTCTCACAGTGAGGTCTTTCCTGGTCATTCAACCTAAGATCAAAGCCCCCCTCCTCGTCCTCTCCCTGCTGTGCTTCCTTTGCTCTTTCTTGACACTTACCACTTCCTAACGTTTCATTCATTTTATATATTTACCTTTTTTCTTTTCTGCCTTCCTCCCTACACTTAACCTCCATTAGGACAAAGATTTTTGTTAACTTCTATATTTTCACTGCCTAGAACCATACCTGGTGTATTATAAGAGTTTAATAATTCTTGTCGATAAATGAATGAGAACAATAAGTGAGATAGAAATTAACAAACTGAGTATTCCAAGCACTGGATCAGGTACTTTACATAGGTTGTCTCCTACTTCGTGAATATTGTCCCTGAGTTTATAGGAAATCGAGACCGCGTGAGGAGAAATAATTTGTCTAGAGTTATGTATTTGGTAATTGGTCAAAAGGAGGCCTTTCTGCATCCCTTTATGCCATAATCCTACCTTTGCAGAAAGCAAATGTCACAATGACCTAGAGAGAGACATCCTGGGTGCGACCATTGCTTAGCAGCCAGTCTCAGTCATACCCTTCATTTCTTGGTCCAAGTCCACTCATGTGAGTGGTGACTCATGGAGATAATATGTGAGGGATTCAAGCTTATTGAAAATCTCCCCCAAGAAGTTGCTCTTGTCCAGAGATGCTCAGGAATCCACAAAGTCTGGACCGTCTGGTCCCATCTGAGAACCTGGAAGACAACAAAATTATGCCACGGATCAGACTGCCATATGCCTGGAAGTTTGCTAATGGTAATCATGTTCTTGGACTCTGGTACATGTATGAAAACTCATCCTTTCAGTACTGGAACCTAATTGGAAAAAAGTGAGGGATACATAGGATTACATAAGGGACTTTATTCTGGATGGAGATAGAAAAAGTGTTCCTTTCACCAAGTAATGAGCATTACCAGGGGGCAGCAACCATTGAGATAAATGAGCACCACTTTTTATTTGCACAAATGTACCCTTGGAGCTAGCTGCATCCCTTGGCATGGAGGTGGTGGATTGGAAGAGCATTAACATTTGTTAAATGCCAACTATGGACTAATCGCTGTGTAATATTTGTTCCCGAGTTAGCTTCTAGATTCTCATGGCAGCCCTAGAAGGAAAGAGGTGATCAGTGCTTGCTATTCTATAGATAAACCAAGGTTTGAGAAGTTTAAGCAACTTCCACAAAGTCACATAACTAGTAAATGACAGACCAAGACTTTTTGAAAGCCAGTCTTGAGTCCTTTGTTTAGTCCTCAGCCACCAGAAGAGAGATATGGTTTTTAAAAAGTCTGGAAGGTGGTATTTAGAAAGTCCAATGTCCTTCCTTCTGTCTTTCTTCTCCAGAATGCAGAGCCTGTGGACTAGGGGGTTCTCAATTCTGCTTTGAGTAGTGGATTATTTTATAACAATTTGTTTATTATCCTAAAATTAAAGTTCATGAATATCATAACCAGTTACCACATATAATTTCACAAACAACTCAATATAATGCTATAACTCTAAGGTAAAGGAGGAAAAAAAATTCCTAGTAAGATAATACGGTTTTCAGTATATAAATGTTCAGATAGAACCACTTTAGAGACAATGAATTCGTTAGACACTTGTACCATATATTGTATAGTGAATTAGTCTAGATATAGTGTATAATGAATTAGACTAGAATTAAGAGAAGAAAGTCAAAAGTAGTTTCATACAAGCTGTTTAGGAAAGTAAAAGAACAGAGTTGTAAGTGGACACCAGAACAAAAACTAGTGTTAGGAGAATAAATAACACTCTTTATGTACTTGTTTCTGATAATGGAAAAAGATAAATAGCTTTAGTTGAAATAGGAATAATACCTAAACAATATACAGACCATTGAAGTGAAAAAAAGGGGGTGTGAATATATTATTCATTTCATTGATTCACAATATTTTACATATAATAAAGTACATGTGATTTTTGTGACTTGCACTGAACGTGTAATAATAAAGTCAGGGTATCTGAAGTGGTCACCACTTTTAATATTCATAATTTCTATGTACTGAGTATTCATCATTTCTATCTCCTAGCTTCCTTGAAATATACAATACATTTTTTTTAGATTGGAAAATATAGTTTATTTGGAAGATAAATTAGAGAAAAAGAGAGAGGAGATTCACCTCCCCAAGGTAGGGGAGGGGGCCAAACTAAGAAAACATGGCAGCCATAGCTCAAAGAACACATGGCCTGACCAGTGCTTAATAAAACAATGGCCCGCCGGGCTCGGTGGCTCAGCCTGTAATCCAGCGCCTTGGGAGGCTGAGGTGAGTGGATTGCCTGAGCCTGTGGGTTTGAGACCCGCCTGGGCAACTTGGTGAGACCTCATCTCTACAATCAATCAAAAAAATTAGCTGGGCGTGGTAGCGCGCGCCTGTAGTTCCAGCTACTTGGAAGGCTGAGGCAGAAGGATCGCCGGAGCCCAGTAGGTCGAGGCTGCGGTAGCCGGGAGCGGCCACTGCACTCTAGTCTGGGCGATGGAGTGAGACTCCAACTCAAAAAAAATTAAAAATAAATAAATAAATAAATAAATAAATATATAAAACAATGGCCCATTGTTGTTAACTATAGTCATTCTCCTCTGCTGTCAAATGACAGAACTTATACCATTTATCTAAGTGTATGTTTATATCCATTAACTACTTTTCTCATTCTCTTAATGATACTTTTTTAAAAACTTCAGCCCTAAAGAAAAGTTGCAAAAAAGAGTACAAATAATTGACTTCTTCTCACCCAAATTCCTTAATTGTTAAACATTACTTTGTACTCTCTTGATCTCTCTCTTCTCTCTCCATATGTATACACTTTTCTGACATGATGTCTAATTCCCCCAACAATTCCTATATAACTCTCTCAGATAATTCTCCTACATTAAGATCATACCACCTGACCAATCTGAAAAAATCAACATTGATAAAAACACCACCATAAATTCACATTTCCTATTCAAATTTTGCCAATTGCCCCAGCAACACATTTTTCTATTTCATCCAGGATCCTATCCAGGAATTCACATTGCTTGTGAGTTCCATGTTTCATCAATATCCTTCATTACAGAATAATTCCTGGGCCTTTTTTGTCCCTCATATTCTTGATAGTCTTAAAGGACACAGCCCTTTTATTCTGTAGCAGATTCCTGAAGATTGTGGCAGCTGTCTAAGCAAGTCCAAAATCCAGAGAGCAGGCAATCAGAAAGGTTATGGCAGGCTGAGCCCCATGGACTGAAGTTGGCAGGTGGAATTTCTTCTTTCTCCCTCTCACTGTCTTTTTAAAGTCTTCCTACTCATTAAATAATGTTCACACGGCTTATCTGAAATAATCTCCTTTACTTGGAGTTAACTGATTACAGACTTTAATTACAGACTTTAATCTCCCAAATCTCTTCACAATAAAACCTAGACTAGTGTTTGATTAAGTAACTGAGGATTGTATCTCAGCAAAACTGACACATCAAAAAAGCTATTACAGGAAAAATTTCTGTGATAAACCAAATATTACACAAATATCATATTCCTCATGAAACTCTTATTCTTCAACCTGGGCCACCATTCATAACTTCTGATTGCACCAACTACTACTATGACAGCTGCCAAATGATTGTCTAATTTCATAATTCTTTCTTCATATATTAGTTGGCATTATATTATAAAGTATTTTCCTTTCTTATTTATATATTTATATTTTTTCGTTTATTTATTTACATCTGTATGAACTCATGTATTCTCATCTTATTTACTGGATTGTGATACAGTGACAATGGGCATCCTTATCTTGATTTTAATCCCAGAAGAAAAAATTTCTGTTTTTCATTATTAAGTATATTTTCCATAGATTTTTTTGTAGGCAATATTTATCAAATTAAGGAAGCTATTCTTAGCTTGCTAAGAGATTTCATTTTAAATCATGAGTGGATATTGAGTGGTATCAATTGCTTGCATCTATTGAGATGGTCGCATATTTTAATTCTGTCAACATAGTAAATTATATTGATTTTATTTTAGAATGTTATATCAACCCTGCATATCCGGGTTAATTCTAACTTTGTCATGAAGTGACAAACTGCATTTATTTTGCTAAATTTTGTTCACATTTTTGCATTTATGCTCTTAAAAGAAATTGACCTGCCATTTTCTTTTCTTGTAATGTATTTGTCAAATACTGTCATTATGGTTTTGCTAGTCTTATAGAATACATTGAGGAATGGTCTCTCTTTTTATGTTATCTTGAGTAGTTTGTATAGAATTGTTGTTATTTTTTTTCTCTCTCTCTCTCTCTCTCCCCCTCTTTCTTTACTTTGTATCACTTCTTTTTTTCTTTCCTTTTATTGTAAAGATGTGGGGTACAAGACAGGATCAAGTCCATAAGTAGTATACATGCAGGTGAAGTTTGGGCCTCCAACTGGTACTCACTTCCCCTGGTTTAGGACCAGGTACCTTTAGGTTTTATTTGAAAGACTTCCTACAGCTCTTGTCTTTCTTTTACCATAGTCGCTGTTATTGATTTCTTGACTCGGTATGATGTGTCTACCCCTTTTCTGCCATTCAGACAGTCGTTTCAGTAGGCAAGAGCACTTGGTATGGTCCTTCCCAGTTTGGTTGGAGCTTAGTTTCCTTCCAAGTCTTGATCAACTTTCAGTCGCCAGGCTGAAAATGGTGAACTGTGAACTCAAGAAGAGGATTTTGAGCAAGGAATCCTTTTAATTTAATGGAAGATAGGGTAGAAGAGATGGTTGAAATACGTTTTCTTAAAAATTGATCTTTAGTTTCCCGAGTCAGTAAATCTGTTACTTTACCTAGATAGGGCCATATAATAGATCATAGGGTGATAAACCCAAATCTCTTTGAGGAGCTGATCTAATTTGGAGGAGAACTATAAGAAGACATTTGACCCAGGGCAACTTTACTTTTAATAATAGTTTAGTTATATGGGTCTGTAGAGTTTGGTTCATTCACTCTATCCATCCTGAGGATGATGGATGCCAAGGTGTATGAAAGTCCCATCACATTTGGAGTGCTGTTGTAATACCTTGCGATACTTGGAGGTAAAATGGCTTTCATTATCCAAATCAATGTTTTGGGTTTTTTCTACCCCACTACCAGTATTTTTTATTAGACCAAATCTAGGGATTCCCTGTTTCAAAAGTATTTTTATTACATACCCTGTTGTAGCTGATGTTGTTGGGTATGGCTCCATCTACCCAGTAAAATGATCAAAAATTACTAATAGGTACTTAAGTTTTCCAACCTTGGACATTTCAGTGAAATCAATTTGTATACTTTGGAAGGGTCTTAATCCAGGAGGTTTTTCCGCCTTTTAATGACCCCCTGATTACCCTTTTATTTATTTTCTTCCAAATTATACATTCCTCACAGATTGTTTAGCAACAGTATAAATACCTAAGCATCCATAGGTTTTTAAGAGAGCATTACATATTGCTAGGGTTCCTCAATGGCTTTATGCAATAGTCATTAATTTCCTAATAATTGGTTTATTAACCAATTATTCTTCCATTGGGGAGAATCCACCTCCCCTTCTTATTTGGAGCAGCCCCTACCTTTCTCATCTTTTATTTTCTTTTCTCACCCATACTTTGGGGCTAATTTTTGTTGGTTGTTCTTCTTCCTCTGAGATATGTCATTCGGACCTTAAGTTGACCTTGTGTCCCTGCATTAAGGCCTATCTGGAAAATTAGGTTTCTGCCTATGAGATTTGTTCCTGCTTCCAGAACAAATAAAAATGAC